CGGACTGTCGAACTCTCTATGCATTAAGCTTAAGTTCATTATAGTCAGGTTCTGGTGGGGCACAGTCAATGGAGACGTAAAAATTGCATAGGTTAGATAGAGAGAACTTTGTTTTCCCAAAGGTCTAGGTGGCCATGGCTTTCTCAGGTCAAGCATGTCGTACCAGTCCTTGCAGGAAAACAAGCTTGGAGACATTTTCAAAATAAAACATCCCTGCGGCGTGAATTCTACGTTGCAAAACACTTTAGAAATGGTGATTTCTTGCCAACTTGTGATTAACAAGGTTCATCCTACATCTGAAAAGTATTGTTGGGTTTTGATACCCAATGAATCTCCGGTTATGATGTAAACTTTGGATTAAATTTCATAAATATTCGCCAATGAATCAAATTGTTACCAACAATCAAGTCTAAAAGCTCGACCAAAAAACAACGTCGGCCGTTGGAAGTAACAAAGAATTAATATTTCTCATGACCCATATATATTACCTCTTAAATGGTTTTGAATTTTGGCTCATTTAATCATTTGTTGGTCCAACTAAAGCCTAACTTAGCCTATATATATGATCCTTTGCCCCAGCCATTTTAGTGTGATTTGTGTATGAAATTAGAAAAAAATTAGTTGATTTAAGAAAGCAAAAATCGGCTGACATTGCTTCCAAAAACCAAATGACAAGATAACGTGAAAGTTTGAACCTTGACCTTGTTGTTTATCAATGCGTTACGTATTTTAGAATACTGCACTTGCTCACTGGAAGGTAAAATCATGGAAGCTTCTGCTTTCATTGAGGCTCGAGCTTGGCTCTCTAGTGCTCGGTCACAGTCATGGATGCAGCAGCAAGCCCCGAGTCATGGAAAGCACTAAATTTCTGATCCCTAATAGACACGGCTGTTCTGAGAGAAACTGTGTGCGTTGGGTTTACCAGAGGAGAACTGCTTGGAAATGGTTGTCTCTACGAGTAAATACTGAAATGAATAATCATCTTTCACCAGAGGATGCAGAGATCCTAGCACTCCAAAATGGACTAATTTTCTTCAAAGAACATCAGCTTAGAGTTGCAGTTGTTGAGTGAGACACGATGCGTTTAGTACAAAGTCTAATTTTCTGTTGGCCCCCAACGCTGGTCTATTAAATGACGTTGTAGATCTAATAGATGAAATACACGTTGAATCGTTGATTATTGCCTTTTTGTTCCTTTGACTGGCCTGAATTAATAAAAAACATGAGGAGTCAACTACTCTACTAGTTCTTAAAGATTAGGAACAAAAAAGCTAGTCGAGAAATTGGTTACATGATCACTACTTTGGCCAAATGTTGGGGACTAAATTTCACAAATTACCCTTTTTGTAATGATATTCAAATAAAATTATGGAAGTAATTTTCTTCTCAAACTACTTTATATGATTTTATAAATATGATGGATGGTAACTTTTTTGTATATAAACAAATTAAATATATATTTCTCATAATTTGAAAATATGATTGATGACTACTTGCTTGATGGCTTACCAACGGAGTAAATCATATGTACTACCATTGAAAATTAGCTAGTTATTTATTTATCTATGGATAGTTAGCAGTGGCGGACCCAGGAAAAAAGTTCATCATGAGTGGAAACAAAACATAAACAGAAAAAAAATAAATGAACTGAAACAGAAATAAAAATGGAAAGCCGAGAAAAAAGGCCAAAACAAAAGGGCAAAATTTTTTTTAAAAAAAAAAAGGAAAAAGAAAAAGGCCCAAACTTTTTTAAGTACCAAACTCTCTCAATCCAAAACAAAAGGGCCAAAATAAACTAACTTTTTAAAGCGTTGCAAGATTTCGTAGCTTTAAACTATCAACCTCTCATCACACTGCCCTAACAAAATAACAAGTAATTTTGTTAAAGTTCTAATAACCCAAAAGAAGTTAAGATGAAAATAAAGCCAATGCAAGTATATATTTATATTGAATTATGTATAGATACAATTTAGAAATATTTTATAAATCATCAAAATCTAGAACCCAAATTTCAAATCACTAATTTATAGGTAAATTATCAGAAGCATCCCAATCACATAATAATCAAACACCAACCAACTAAAATACCAACAGCTCGCTCAAAATCAGCAGAAGGAAAGAAGGAATGAACCTGGAAGCAGGAATCAAAGTTTCAAATTAATTTTTACACACAAATTATAGACTTACAAACTAAAACTCCAGTGAAAGAAGTCAATGGCATGCAGATGGCAGGTCACAAGCAACTGAGAAAGTCCACGGCATGCAGAGAGAATCTGAAAGAGAGGAAAATGGGTGAAAATTGAAATCAATTCTCCAGACCCAATATATGAAGGTTTTGGATTTTGGGCAATGGCTAATGGGCCTAATGTTATTTTGAAAAGGGGCCTAATTCCTAAAACAACTTAAGTGCACTAGTTAAAAAAAGGCCCAAACCAATTTCAATCCATCTTCTTCATTTGGCAGTCTGTCCCTGCGCAATTTCACAGACCGTCGCAGATTCTACTTCATTTCCGATGTAGTCCCTACGCCATTTCTGTTTGCACTTTGAAACTAGCATGGCAATCCTCTTATCGTCTTCTTCTTCTTCTTCCTGTCTTCTCTATGCAACAGTGATCTGACGCCCGACGGTATTGAAAATTCCGGCAAATCCAGCACAGGCGGCTGCCCCCCTCCCTCTCGCCGGGTGCTGGGTCCGCCCTTGATAGTCAATAAAATGGGTTGAGTGACATATCTCATATGCCATCATACGTAAAAGACTTGTTTGAGAAAATTTTATCAATTTTTTAACAGATCAAATTTTAATTTTTAATCACACAATGTGTTATAAACTTTTCAATCATACATTTCCCCCATGTTTGATCCACATTCTTCCCAATATTCATTCTTTCAATATTCATTTCCAACCACATATTTTTCATTAAAATAATATTACATGCAAATTCAAATTTTTTTCTTATTTTTTAACCTCATATTTTTCATCATATCACATCATAAAATACATTTTCTTCTCAATAATACGCATTAAATACCCTCGAATCATCAACTTTTGTCAAAATTTACTAAATTTTTGACAATTACACTGATTTTTTTATAAGTACAGTAAATGATGCAAAAGTTATATAAAATCGAAATTAGATGTAACTGAAAAAAATAAACAATGACAATTGTTGGACACATTTGATTTGGATCTTGATAACGACATTAAATATTAGAGATCGTAAAATACATATATTTTACTAAAGTATGGGTTACACAATTTTTTTGATAAATTCCTTAGTTTCTTAGAATTGTATCGCACTTGGTGTCAAGTGATCAAACTAATAAGTCAAGGACAATTTGACCTCAACGAATATAATAAAGAGTAATTCCATTTGTACGGAAATGCCCCAGAATACTCACAATGGGGTGGGCCCCACCGTGTATTTTTTTTTAAAAAAAAAATTCACGGACCCCACATGGTGCGAGTGTTTTGTGGAATTTCTAGTGCATTTGCTTCTGTACATGAAGCATCCTTCTATAATAAATTGGAAGTCCGGAAAATAATGAAACTTGCCACAATGAATAAATACCCAAGCCAAACAAGAATAAATATCACTTATCATTTTATCTTAACGAGTGTAGATCTATAAATCAATTTGATTCTTCAATCATAAAAGTAAAATTTGTACTCTTAAATATTATCAAGTAAAAAAATAAATAAATTGAAATTCTATTAATAATATGTTGAAAACAAGATTTAAATAATTAAATGTGATGCAAAATATATATAGCTTTTTGATAATGTGTCGTCATCGCTCATTTATGAAAAAGTATACACATAACTTTTATCAACTTTTCAAGTACATATTTACTAAATTTTATCAAAACCTACTATAATTTTTATCCAAATAGCATATCTCGAACTGCTTAAATTTTAGATAATGTGATTAATTTATTCCAACTCACAAAGTAATACGACGAAAAACGATAAATTTATTTACATAAATCTTCACTCAATACATTATATATAGAGTTCTTGGAAACAAGGAAAATTTAGATTATAGAAGAGTGAGAAAGGATTGAGACTTGTGGGAAACATTCGTCTTATTAATGGGAAATATTTGGTTTTTTATTTGGAAATTGACCTAGATAGGGTTAAAGAGGACGTCGTTCGTCCCAGTTGTTGGCTCCAACCTCTTCTTCGACCTTACCAATGGACGGCCTTGGCATTTCTCTTCACTCCCTTCCCTCTTTAAATTTAGGTCTCTCTCTCTCTCTCTCTCTCTCTATTTTTATTTGGGTTTGTGAAATGACAAAAAATAACTCATTTTAAGTTTATTTTTATAAGATCATTATAGTAAATTTTGGGAGAATGTGTGGTTAAAAAGTAAGGAAAAATTTTGAATTAATATGAAGAATATTTTATTGTGAAAATGTGTGACTGGAAATTAGTACAGGAAAAAAATAAGAAATAATAGTTGTCAAACAGAGGCTGCCGTGTAAATATATGTGGTAAAGTAAAGTTAGAAACAGAAAAATGATCCTGGTTATTTCTTTAATTATTTTATAAATTAGAGATCTATATAAAAAATGATTTTATTCTTAGGACGCTAGAGATTGAAAATGAATTTAGTTCATATTTGATATGCCATGATTGGAAAAGATTAAAATTTATCAATTATTTTTGTCAATATATAACTAGAGCAATTAATTATAAGTAATTATTAACCCTCCCATTATACATTTTGTCTCTTTAAGAAAATGAATATTGTTAT